AATGCATTTTCTGGAACAACGATGCAACGTAAAATTTTGCGTGAAACAAGCTAACGGGGATGATGTTCTGTTCTGGGTCGTACACAATGTTACGAAAGGCAACCGACTTCAACTAATGACTCCTAAGTTCAGAAAGCAGAAAGTCAAAAATCTGGTGCGTGCAAATCGCTGACGAACTCTCAGAGAAACTGCAGAAGAGGTTAGCATATCAATTGGGTCATGTCATGAAATTTTGACTGAAATATTGAACATGCATCAAGTTGCAGCAAAATTTGTTCCTCGTTTAATGACCAAGCAACAGAAAGACAATCTTGTGGACGTTTGTCGCAACTCCTTGAACAATCCAATGATGATGAAATATTCATTCAAAGGATCATAACGACTACGATATTGAGACAAAAGTTCAATCATTATAATGGATTGGCAAAGGAAAGCATGTCAGTTTTGATCCAATATCAAAGTGATGCTCACTGTTTTTTTTTCCCTTCAATCAATTGTGCCTTTTGAATTATTGCCTCAATGGGAAACAGTGAATCATGTGTGTGTACTATCAAGGCGTTTTACAACAGTTTTGTAAAAAATCCACAGCTTTATCAATTCATCAGTTTTGTGCCAAAAATCAGATTACTATCCTGTCACCATCCTTACTCGCCAGACCTGGCTCCTTGCGATTATTGCTTATGTCCAAAATTAAAATCAGCGCTGAAAGGATGCCCTTTTCAAACAATCGATGACATCAAAGCAAATTCATCGCAGACTTTAAAGGTCACTTCAAATGAAGCTATTCAGGACGCTTCGCAAAATTAAAACACCGCTGAGAAAAGTGTATAAACAATGGAGACAGTACTTTGAAGGAGACAAGGACCAATAATGTGTAAAATTAATAATAAAGGTTAAAAAAATAAAGTGGAAATTAAATCCAAAAATTTTTATCTAACCCTTGTTTAAATAGTTATTTCATACTCGCCAAGGGTCTTACACATTAGCATTACTGTATGTACAATTCCTCATATAGCAACCTGTATACATCGATCCCTTATAATTAAAACAAATCAACCTTCAATTAAAATGGAAACCCCGAATGGTAAATAGCGGAGGACAACTACTGTTGTATCGATTTAAATTATGTCTTCAACAATAACAGATAGAGAAACAAGGCTATCGATTTTTTCACGCCAAGATAATTTTCTTCACAAAATGTCTTGCTTACAGATAATAATTGTATACCGAAATAAAGCGAAGCTAAAAAAATACAAACCTATACTCAGGCTTCTTAGCAACAGGTACTATTTCTTTTGGGGCACTGGCAGTCTCAGTCTCTGTATTATTATTATTATCATCGTGCCTATCTTCGACGAAATGGCATTTACACTGGGGCGACTGGGGGACGCAAAATAAATCACCGCTGGCCACCATGGTCACCAAACACATCACTGACGAGGGCAAATTATTATCACAGAAAAAAACAGTGAGAATGGACGAAAATTACGATTCGGTAAATTTACAAACAAAAGGCGCGATTTGAATTTTCAATAGTCACGGTGTCGTGGCTAGTCAACGAGGTGAAACGACGGCGTACCTTTCATACAACGGACCCGACCATAATCCATGGCAAACTGTCTTTTGTTTATATGGAATCGATACAGGCGACTAACCACCAGGATGGTTCGTGCGACTGTATAATGACTGGCATATGTATATTTGATTAATGCTAGGAGTGACCTCAGAAGCCGGCTTAAATACTAACTGATAAAAATAATTTATTACGCAGGTCCGTACCTCCAAATATTGTTGCTGCAAACACGGGAGCAGCCGCCGGCAACAATTCCTGATCGAAGACTGGTTCATATTTAATTTAAGTAACCTTGATTGTACGATGGGTAATAATTAATAATTTAATTGAACTCCGAGGTTAATAACCATTATTCACGGTTTCAAATTTTAACGCCTAATACAGAGATAATTTAAAACATATCGATCTTCCGCATTCGGAACTTCCTGGACAGTGGCGTATACAGACCGAGAATATGAAATTTCACATTCTGGGGAAGACTTAACTGAAAAATAAAAGGACCTTTTACAAGTGACTGTTCCTAAATATGCACATTTACAGGTGGGTGAAAAGTTCCCGCAATTTTTTTGGACAGTGATTTGATATTGTTATTGTTTTTTTTTTAATTCAAATAATTTAACTGAATTCGCCACGTAATTTTAACCTTAAGTATTGTTTTAATTGTTAGATTATTTTTAACAAAATTTGCGACCGAGAAAATGTGCGTATTACTATTGTTGAACTGCACAAGACGGAAATGATGCCGAAATTCGTCGAAATCCTGAACTCTCAATGCGCAAAATGGCCAAGGAGCTCGGAATAAGCGGTAAACGCGTCCGAAACATCATCAAGTGGGAGCTGGGACTTTTAAGTTACAAGGTTGCTCGCATTCACTACGTTAATGATCCGATGAAGGCGAAGCGACTACAAAATGAATCGGCTGGTCGCTGGTAGTCACGTGAAGGCGCTCTTCACCGACGAGAATATTTTTAGAACTGAACCGCTCCACAACCGCCAAAATCGTCGTCAGCTGCGCAGTCAAGACCAGCAGAAGACTGCCATTGCGAAAACCGTTGGACGGCACCATTTTCCGGCCGAGTTATTTCCAGGCGTTTGGGGCAAAGACATTTGGCCGCTGAACTCGCCGGATCTCAATCCAATGGACTATTCGATGTTGTCCATCAAAACTGCGTTAGAACGTGCCTGGGATGAAATTGCGATGGATGAATGTGCGACTATCGTTAGTAATTTTCGAAAACAACTGAGTAAATATATTGAAGCGAAACATGTGTGTTGGTTTGTTGTATTATGCGGTAGTTTCGAAATGTCTAAACAAATTGAGATAACTTTATGCCCACCCTGTTTACTGAGTCAAAGTTTCGCAAAAACATTAACAAAACATTGATATAATGAATCTCCTCATTTTTTTGAAGGAGACGATTCAAAGATGATTACATTTTCCCTGAAAATTGATAAAGGCAATGGAGAAAATGTGTTCTTTTTATCATTCTTGAAATGCAATTTTTCTTTTCAACAACTTTTTGCAAATTTTTACCATTTCGGTACACATTTGTATTTTTGTAATTTGTAAAAATGATATACGTATAGCTATAATTTGAATAACTTTACAATGTTCAAAATGGCACCATTATGCCTCGATACACTTTGCGATAGGTCTGCTAATTTGTCAATATCTTCATTTCTTCAGAAGATATTTAGACATATAACTTTTAAGGGCAAACGTTTATACATATAAGAAAATATTCGTGAATGTGAAACAGAAACACATTCTGTTATTTCACACTCCATTGTGTGACACCCTGTATAAAGTCGTATGTGCTATTACTCAGGATTTTCTGCAAGTTAATAATACTATTCTGTAAAGTTCTATTACTGGCTATAATACAATGACTTTCAATTTTTACATTATTTCTCTTAATAATGTATAGGTATATAAATAAAAATGTATGTAATAAATCAATATAATATTCCAAAAATATTAATCAGTGTTATATAAAATGTTACAGAAATATAAGTATGTAACATTAAGCTTAAATTATTGTCGAACCTTTATGGTATTATTCCTAGATGTAAATTTACGTCACTATTAAAATCACAGAGTGCTACGATGCCTTTTGTAAATTTACAGACTAGGCAACACAATATACATAATCAGAAGATAACAGAATACAGTCTCCGCTGTATTCTGTTTCATTCTTTGACTAGGAAATTGAAATATATTTTATTTTAATCAATATACAGAATGTTTCAGTATTAATTAACAAAATTTAAAATTTGAATTCGAGAGATCAAAATAAGTCTTATGTAGAAATGTTCAAAACGCTTTGTTTTAAAAATACAGGTGGTTGAAAATTGAAACAAATAAATATCACATTTTATAAAATACCTATCCCTAAAGCCTTGATTTAACTTGGACTAATGATTTATACAATTGTAGGTAAAAATTCATATGCAGACTTTCAGCCAGTGGCGGAGATACCTGGGATTACTATTACTCAAAATCCCAAAAATTGAACATCACTGAGTATTTTTTTTAATTTTATGAGTGCTTGTAACTCCTAATGCTGCTTCTAACAGAAAAAATTGTTTCCCTTTTATTCCAAAAAAGAACCATTTTTTACTTAATTTTTTTATGCTTACCTTTTCGTTAAGCACTTTGATAAATCTAAAATAACAACCAGACTAAAAAAAATATGATTTTTAATTAAAAAGTTTGATTTTCAACAAAGTACATTGGTGAGAAGTCCATAAAAGTCACCGACTTAGAGATATTGCTAGACGAAGTTGAGGGCACGATTCCTTAAAATACATAATGTTTATACTAATGAGTTTTTCGTATTTAGCTTGATTTCATTATAATATAACCCAAAAATTCTGTTTTCTTTAATAAAATGGCAATTCCTTTTTTCTTAGAAATTCTATTATAGGAGTTACAAGTAGTCATCAAATGACCAAAATATTCACCGACATCGACTTTCTGGGGTTCGTAGTGATAATGACTCCCGATACTTCCGCACCTCAGTTAATGTAATAATTTATATACGAATTCAGGGTTCCGATCAGTTTTTCACAAAATTATTATTTTTATTTTGACTACCTGAATTCAAAGTTTAGTCGAGGTCGATAAACCGTAAAAACAAATTCTCAGAGTCTTTTATCAATCCTTTTACCACATTGTTTATATTATTTCGCTACGTTCCTGTTTCTAGATAAAGCAGGCAAGGAATAATATGTTGAAATAAACTATCATGTGGTTCCACATCATGTGGAAGCTTAATCAGTGAATTTATAAGCTTACGCTACAGCGTAATGAATAGCATCATTTATTTTCTGTTGTCAACAGTTGTGAGAAACAGCTACAGAAACAAAAATATCAACAAAATCATTTTCCAAAACGAAACAAATTTATAATAAAAGATGTACTCACATGACCATTGCGGAGTTTTTCATAATACGACCACATGGTCCGAACTGCTGGACAGGCGAAGGAGCATTCAGCGACCTTGTTCTCCTGCAAAAATTATAACAATTAGCGGCAAAGTTAATAACAGACTGCTACTAACGAAATGGTTGGTTACAAAGACAATACAATACTAATATAATATAATTACAAAAATTTATAACCTAATAATTGGCAGAATAGATAAGACAATGACAGGAATTTGTATTACATTACATTTTAATCATTATCAACAGGTTTATGTAACTCTAATAAGGTGTAGTAACGAGACTGTTAAGTGATCTCTATTATAATTAAAATAAAGAACTGTTTACTAATTTCTAATAAAAAATGCAAGTTGCCATTGATAAAAATATCTAACACAAAATTACAACAGAATATACAGAGTGCTCAAATTAAATGGGTACTACCACTATTACTATTATTAAATTAGCAAACAATTTTTTGCTGATTAATTTACACTAAAAGAAAAAACACAAAAAGACATAGGTACCGGAAGAAGAGCAGCAGATTATAATGGAACAGATTGCATTGTTAAGGTATTAAGGCACTTCAGAAAAAAGGAGTACGTACAAGGTTTTTTATCACTAAGCAAAAAAAAGCACAACAGGAGTTAAGGCTAGTAAAAGGCCAAAATAACCCTCTTTTCACCCCCTAGGGTATACTGCATACCTTAAGAATACGTGAAGATAGATATAACAAGGATCTATTATTACAAAAAGGAAAGAATATAAAAGCCTTTTAAGACTGACTCAGCCAGCCTGAAAAATCAGCCATCATATAACATACGCTAGATGAAGAACATACACTGTGTGTCGATTACATTTTGGAAACTAGGTTTTTACAACCTGGTGAGAGGAGGACTGGAATACTGGAAATAGTGGAAATCGAACATTCAAAATACGTGAGGCCACGCCCTCTCCCCCACTCCGCAAGACTAGAGGCGCACGCAGCGGTACTGATGTCATCAGTAACGCAAGCGGGACCTCTCACTTCTATCACTATACTGCGCACGCCCAGATACGCGCGACACCGATGCTATAAGACCAGTAACGAACGACGAAACGTTTGAAAGCAATGAATTCAACCAGTTACGGAGGCTACTATGGAACGAATCAGAGGATCACCATTATCTGAGGGGTGATTCCATCTGTAGCGGCATTAGTATCAACAACAAGAACCGAAGTTAACATCACGGCGAGCCTAAAGGCTCTGATAGCGGGTCTGCCCCTACATGACCTAGCCCGAGAACAACAAGAGCACATTAAAGATTTCTGGCTAAGACTAAGGATGTGCAATGTAAGTCTAACTTGGCGGCAACCATGTTCATAAGCCACGGCAAAGGACCCGAAAAACCACTATAATTTAAAAATAATGTAAAAATATTGGAATGGAATCATTACTTTGTCTTGTAGATATAGTCCAATTAACTAAGCCTTTAAATCGAAATTTTGTCAACTTGGCTGAATTTTTTATATGAGTTAGTTTAAGGTATATTATAACAATAAGTGAGAGTAATTTTTTGTTCAAAAAGGGTAAGAGCTAGAAAAAAAAGTTTTTCATGAAAGTTGTAAAGCAGACAATTCTACATAAAAATGTTCTCTTAACTTTTTCTTGTACTATTAAAATTAACAGAGGAGGCTAGAAGTTAAGGGAAGATTTCAGAAATTTAATTTTGTTAAATCATTAAAATTAACGATTAAAAATTTGATTTTTTGTTATAACTTTCTTATTAAAAATTAAAAAATATATCTATTTTTCTGAAAAGAAAAGTTACATATTTAAGAGCAGATTGAAAAAAAAATTACAAAATTCAATCATTTTTCTGTTATGATTTTTTTTAAATTTCTGAAATCTTCCCTGTTTAAAAACTAAAATATCATTTACACACTGGTTTATTAAGAATTCTCAATTCTCAAATCCAACTACATGACCCTTGCGAACCCAGCCTGGAGTGTGTTTGAACGTCAACTAGAATACCCTGTAGCTTATTAACCGCAGACGGATACCTGACGAGTACACTAGTAACCTAATGGGATTTGCTTTCCGGTCAAATTAGCTGAAACTCTAGTGTATTGTCCTAGTTGGTGTTCTGATCAAAAGTTCCCATAAGCACGAGGTCTGAAAATGAAGTGCCAAAGTTTCGATATGTGGCTATCTGCTGATTAACTAGGTTAGGTGTTTTACAAAAAGAACAATTTACTAGTTTCAGCCAATTTAACCGCCACCCAAATTTCATAAGGTTGGTGCGGGGTCCTTTCAGTAAATTCTTTTAAACAGTTAAAAATTTTCACAAAAATTTGTACGAGCTCTACGCTCACACAGTTCTCGTACCTCATACCATCCAAGAATGCCTGACTGACCTTGCAACGACGATCCTCAGAAATACAAGCTCCTAAAGCTTCCATAGCAGATACCCTATGGAGACCCCGCAGACGCAAGCACCTAAAGTTTCCATACCAAGTACCTACTCTAAGGAGACCTCACAATACAAGCTCTTGCAGCCTCTACACTAGGTACTATCAGGAGACCTCACAATTTTTAGTGCTTCGGCAAAGCCAAAAAAAAACAAGAGAATAGCAATGCGAACAAACTAAAGGGTAGGCTAAGCATCTCATGCATGGAGAAAGAGTGACAATTTCGGTCTACTCTCATTCAAGCGTATGTTGTGGTTGGCGTGAAGAAAAAAAAGTGACGTCCGATCATCCAGTCCATGTCTTCACCGGCGAACAGGCAACTAACCTCCCGGCACCGCAGGCGAAATACAAGAATCTCGGTACTGTCAATTAATCCATCAATAGGGATATAGAAGTGCAAGACCACCTTTCATACCGCCGAGGAATACAGCCCATCAAAATCCACGACATGGCGCCCAACATGGGGCCACGATGTTTAAAATGACATAAATCATGTAAATTCAGGACATAATCTTGAATCCTGAAAATGCGTTCTAATGGTTCTAACAGAATAAATAAAAATATACAGGGTGACCCATAACAAAAATCAGAGTGCAAGCCAATAAATGCCTGAAATGTGTTGCAAATTGTTTTCTTTTATAAGAGAATTCATGAAAAAGATTATTTGCTATTCTGATATCTCCAAAGATAACGAAGTTATAATCGTATTTAATATTTGCGCGTGATGACCCTGTACATACGTAAAAATTTAATAATAACTCGTACCCTATAAAAATTTGTACATATTTTTATTGACTGAAATAAACAATGATCGATATTCCAGCTACCGTGAATGTATGCAGTGTAAATAAAACTTGAAACACGATAACTTGAAGTACTAAAGCATTGTGAAATGAGAAAAACAAGCAATGATTACTGAACGAAAAACATAATTTTAGAAAATAATAATTTAAAAATAACTTCTCAATCTCTACAGCAATGAAGATATGTAAATATTCTTTGCTTAGACTGTAAAGATAAAACGGAACTCGTAAAATATTAACAAAAAGTAGCTACGATAGGAATGGCTTGGTAAGTTATACTGGAGGAATTTTTTTATACGTAATAACAATACGTTGTCATACCTGTTCATCGACCGACCACTTATCTAACAAATATTATGAGCAACTAGCATATTTAATATTTCGGAAGAGAAAATATATTTTACAATCTTTTAATTTTATCGTAGTAAACATTATTTTTTAAAACTGTGATAAACGAAACATTTATATCACGTTTTTAAGTAATTATAAAACTGTATACATCAACCAAACGCTATTATTAATTTGTTATTAAGTACATTACGAAATGTTATTTTACGTACAGATTTAAATATAAACGTATCCTATAAAAATATGTTCAAATTATTATTGATTGAAATACACAATGGTCAATATTCTCGTTACCTTGAAGGCAAACCGAGAGGTAAGCATTGTAAATAAAATGTAAATAGGATAATTTAGATTAGTAGTACTATCCATCAATAGTATGCATTGTCAATTTAAAAAGACAAAGATATAATATTCAACCTAAAATATAACTTAGAAAATATTTAAAAAATACCTCCTCAATATGATATACGAATAAATGTATCGAAATATTTATTACTTCTGTACTATAAAGATAAAACAAAAACCGATGAATAATAAAAGTACATACATGGGATTAGATAGCATGTTTTAAGCTGGGAATTTTTTTTATAAACAACGATTAAAAATACCTGGTCATCTCCTGTTCATCGACCAAACTAACGCATCGCGAATAGCTGCTGTTGGAGGTCATTTCGTATTTTGGCAGAGACCGTTCAGGAACGTCTTATTTCACTGAAACCGCCAACGAAACTGAGATAAATTTAAACGCTAAATAAACACGAAAACGAAGCTACCTACTGTTTATCATTGAATCGGAGCGCAAATAGAATCATTGTTCAGTGTTAACTGTATCTCTGAAATAAAAAGAAGTCCGATTCTGAAAAACACTCGGAAAAACACTAGGCTGATCGTTTCCCACCTTGCCAATTCGCAACATACTGAGCGTCGTTTACCATGCAAACACCAATTAAAAAGACTAAAAGGGGCTAATAATAAAAATCGATAATCGCTTGTATGAAAGGGTATTACCTGGTAGCAAGAGAGGGGAGAGACCAATTTGGGCTTCGCTGCAAAATTTTGAACACTTATTTTTATGATTTGTACTATACTATACAAAGTTTAACGTATTTAGGGACATTGTAAACCAATATCTTGCTGAAATCTGAGCTGCGATATTACTAATTTCTGAAGTATGATGCAAAAACTAGTCAACGCAGTTTTTATTTTTATATTATTTAAATTCTAGGTACAAGACACTCTACTGGGCATAATAGTTAAAACAATTAACTATCATGCCCAGTTCCAATTAATTGGATTAACAATTCAAAAAAAAAGCAACGAAACAATTTGAACAAATTGAACACTGCCGTACTACAGCGAGTTAAAAGGCAGGCAGACAATTTATTAGAAAAATTATTAGAAAAATTGGAGAAAACACTAATGAATTCTACAATATAACTTTTCAAAACGTTTACCATTACACTTAAAATGCTTGATGGTGGATATGAGAATTTTAGAAAACTAATTTAATTCAAAATAGTAGGCGTCTTAAATAGTTATTGTAAAATTTTTAATAAATTTTACCATATTATATTTTTCGAAGGTGTTTCTTATAGCATGGTCGACCGTGGTACTGATCTAACAATAAAACGTTCATAATTTCATAAAAATTATGGCTTTTTGACATGAAATTAATTTACACATTCATGTACTACGCGCTCAAACATAATTTTCATAGCCCTTCTTGATTTAGAAAATGTGATTATTATCCACTTCCAGTTTAATCAAATCTAAAGAAAATTCAGTTTTGCATTTACAGTCCGTACGATATTTGTTGAGATAGAATACCAAGAAGACCTCTGAATCACTTTTTTGCAATTACTCGCATTCAACACCCGAGGTAGAAAGACGTTAGCGGCGTTTCGTTTATTCTAGCAGCTTGCAGTGCATACTGTGTTTTGCAGTTACGAAGACGTGTTTCTTCGTAAGTGTATCGTCCTCTGCATTTTCAATGTAATTTCTTATTAAAATAAATGAATAGAGGTGAAAAATAAAAGAAAATAATTTAATTCGTCGAAGAGCATCATGTTTAACGTGTATAATTTTTATTTTTTAATATTCTGAAAATATCGCGGAAAATTTGAAGGAACGCCCCTGCCGTGATAAATTGTTACAGTAGTTCCGATGACAGAACTTTATTGTCTTATTCTTTTCTTGGAATTGTATCTCATCAAATATTGTACGGACTGTGTGCCTATGTTATATTTCATACAAAATTTGATTAAAAATCAAGATACTGATTGAAAACTATTTTTCTATTTGAAATGTATTATAGATATACTTTTTTATGCCTGTACCAGTAACCACATCTTTAAGGTTTAATTTCGAAAATAAGTACTTCGGTATTTGATATTTTCGAGGATTAAGTTAAAAAATATATCAAATAACAGTGAAACGGAATGACACACTTAATATTGTTTAGTAGGGTTCATTTAACAAGAAATTTTAAATAATTTAGACGGCGTCCTATTTTAAAAAATAGTAAAAGATAAAACGCATAAAATTTAGTTAAATATTACTGCTTTTTAATGTCAAAATAAGTATTCAATAATGACAACTGAAAGAAAATGTTTTATAAAATTTGCAGTCAATATAAATAAATTATTATGCGTATTTATTTATCAACAGTATTCAGAACATTCACAGTTTATTTGTTAACAGATTGTGAATGTGAATATTCATTCACACAGAATAATTCAAAAGCTTTTGCTGATTTCTAGCCAATTCACTCGCCAAATCTCGCACCGTGGAGGAGCGCCTTAAAAAACTATAAAATTAAATTATAAACATTTTATATTTAAAACAATTTCCAGTAGGTACCAACTGTAACGTCTTGATTGAAAATAGCCAAGTATCCCTGCCTTCAGACTACATTTTGTTAGATAAAATGAACTTACCCATTTATTTGATAATCCATTTCTATTAATTTAAATAACTTATAAAAACAAATTCTTAATGTTCTGATGTAACAAATTAATTTTTACCCTCTAATACTAAACAAAATAACAGCAAAATTGTTATTTTGACAAACTTAACAGTTAAAAAAATGACAATGAAACACACTTACGGCCAAGTTCCTGACCTTCTCCTCCTCCTCCAAATATCGTCATCTTCAAAAGAATGCTTATCTAAAATTTCATTTGATGTTCTGCTCATATAACTATCATTTGAGGCCTTTTTATTATGTAAACAGGCTAATCTAAATTCTAACCTATCAGCTAGTCTACATTGGTGTAGAGTAGACAAATCCACGTCCGAACCGACCCACAGAGAAGCCATTTTGCTCAAATATTGCAACTTCTGTAAATTATTCACTAAAAACTACACACAATAATATCACAATCACCTGGTGAGAATTAGGTTATATGGTATATAATTTGAAATTTCCATATTTCTTCTTAGGTTAGAATAGATCAACTTTCGTTATTAACAACAATGATTAAAATAATGCTCTATGCTCTCTTATGTACATAGTACGATTCACCTACTTGCAATTACGAGTTAAAACCAGGTAATAGCAAAAATGAGGCGAAAAATTCATGTTCTGCCTGCTGCTTACGTCTTACGTCAAAACTTTGTAGCCACTACATACATAACATCACCGTCGTACGGATAGTTACGCAGTAGCTAATCAGAAGAATGCAATTTGTTTCAGTACCTACCTAGATAAATATAGTTTAGCCTGATTCTATGAATTAAGGAGGTTCGATACCAAAAGAAAAATGGAATGTTTTCAAAGCAATTGAAATCTGTTAATAAATATGCAAACTGACTTGTGTAAAAATATCAGATCGATTGACAACGTAGTTTTTTTGAAAAATGATTTTAAAAATTATGCTTTTTAGGCTCTTATGGGAGTTGGGACAAAACTTTAATCAAACGTGAATATTGCTCTTAAAAATGGTTAGGATCGGGAAAATAAAATTGTAAATAAAGAATTAAATATTACTAAACATTTTAAAACAATAAAAATATGCACTTACAATGTAATTATTGAGATAATGGAATGAATAGATAATGTTTTGACAAATTTGAACAAACATCTGATCCAATGAAAGGAAATATGGCAACACTGTACGCTGTATTTAATGCTTTGACTGATGCGTTATATTTGAATAGCTCGACTATAGATTATAAAATTATTCCAGTCGAAAATATATGTAGTAATAATTAATATTAAATACATTTTTCGTGATCTAATGCAATATATTAGCAATTTGAAACAAAAATTGAAAGGATCTCTTTACAAAACGAACAGTATAGATGTTCATAATCTTCAATTTGACAAGTCGACGTCTCACTATCATACACTGAACTTCTTGATACCTAGTTATCATATGGATTCTCGGTTTGCACATTTTATTTTTTTCTCATCAATCCACATTCTGTTTTACACTCATTTTATATTACTTTTCAGTCATTACTTTTCCTTTGTACCTTGGTTGTTCATTCATGTTTACGGAATTCGCGCAAAGTTGACAGTAATGACAGTTGACCCAACTTTTACCACCACGCCATGGCAATGTTGCCAGATTTCCTCCATAATTTTACAAGCTCGTAATGAATAAATAGACGCTTTTATTCAAATAAAAAGTGAACTGACGTGTATTAGACACGAAAAAAATATGTAAGCTAATATGTGTTGTATAAATTTCATTCTAAATAGCATACTTAATTCGCTGAAATTAATTTATGTATTAAGACTCCCGTGTATAAACATAGGCATACTCTCCGCACGGCCCGCCTCGCAAGAGGTATATCGAACGTCCTTAATATATTGGAAATTTAGTATTTTTTTTTTAGTATAGACCCTGGAAACTTAAAGTTTGTAATAGCTGTTTTACATTGACAATTTATTGATTAATTAATTCATGAAGTCGTTTCATTAAGAAATTGGACAAGTGTAATACCTACACCTAATCTGCTGTCAAATAACTTCATGAATTTATTTATCAAGTTCTTGACGAATTAGAGCATGTAATAGCTGTTTTACATTGACAATTTATTCATGAATAAATTGATGAAGTTCTTCATGAATTAATTCACGAATTTATTGGTAAACAGTGCGGTTTTACACTGCTACAGATTTTGTCAAGTTTTTTGACGTATGAATCAGTTCTACCAATGAATCAAAGAAGCAAAATAGATTTCAGAAATGTCATCTTTCCACTCATATTATATAAATATTAGTTTTTGTAAGTAACAAATCAGTAAAAACAATGCAAAACTAGTACGACGCCACACAATTATTTACATATTCCAGTAACATAACCTCATTACTGATTTGAGGCTGGAAATCTGTTGGGTTGGTACTTCCGAACTTCACGAAGAAATTGACGAAAATTAGAACATGCTCTAATTCGTCAAGAACTTGATGAATAAATTCATGAAGTTATTTGACAGCAGATTTGGTGCATTACACTTGTCCAATTTCTTGATGAAGCGACTTCATGAATTAATTGATCAATAAATTGTCAATGTAAAACAGCTATTAGAGCAAAACCACACTGTTTACCAATAAATTCGTGAATTAATTCATGAAGTACTTCGTCAATTTTTTCATCAATAAATTTTCAATGTAAAACAGCTATAACAAACGCACATAATAATAAAATAATTTTAGGTAATGTTTGCACCTACCACATCCTATATGTACATAATTATCAGTCCAACTTTTGTAAATTATATTATACACATTAATTTTAATTACGCAGCTCTTGATAAGTACAAAAAGCAGGAAGCATTTTTTTGTTTTTTTTTTCATATGTAATTAATTTTATTGTTTCTACATTTATATTTTTGTACGTAAGTATTATAAAAACTTACTAAACGACTTCTTTATTATCCGCAAGCAATACCTTCTTGATTGATTAAACCCACCAATCCCACCATCTAACTTAATTTATGAGAATAAGAATAAGAATTGTTCACAGCCCATTTTACATTTTCAAGGTTTAATTTGTAATTCACTATTTTATTCCATATAAATCCGTTTTACATTATTTGCTTTGTATTGACCACTAAGCACAAATCTTGGATAAAGTTAATAAAGATTATAATAATATTTTGAATACTAAGGACTACTGATTTTTATCTCTCGATCTAGAATTACGTTGAATAATTACAATAGCCATTTAGGAAAAAAGAAAGTTTAAAAATTCAATTAAAAACAATAAAAAATCGGAAAGGATGGCTGGAAATCGAATCCTTCATCATTCCACCATCACATTTGTTCGAATTTATCCAGACAAAACATGTTAATAATTCCAATATATTTAGTTAAAAATAAATAGAACATGTTTTTTATTTTCTTATTGTGAATTCCTTCACCACTTCTCAAATTTTTAAAAATATAAATGCAAGCTTGATTGTAATACCAATAAAACATGGCGAATATTTCGAACAAGAAGCCTTTTGGTACAATTATAATTTAGACTTTTGGCAGTACATCTCGCGATTTGTTATGTTATGACAATGGAAAGATACCTAATCCACTTTGGTCGGATGTTAAGGATGGGCTCGGAAATGCAATATTTTATGCGTGCCACTGGTTTTATAAATTGCACTATTTATATCTAATCTCTCCATGCTACCGACATATTGTCACAAAAATCGCAGATTTTTAAAACTCATAAAAAGCCATATATTAATAATTTTCCTAAAACTGTCAGGAATTCCACACAAATTGAAAGCATTGGTTTTGTAAGGTATTGCTGTTGAAAGTACTGGTTATGACTTACGCATACACTAAAGTATTATTGGTTGCATAGATATATAACAATTAACGTAGCATTACATTATCTACGTATTAAAAAATAAACGTGTATAATCCGGTATGGTCTAGTGGCTAGGATACCTGGCTCTCACCCAGGAGGCTCGGGTTCGATTCCCGGTACCGGAATTTTTTTTTCAATTTCTTTTAATAAAACTGAAAGGAACTATGTATTATATCAATTTTTATTATAAACAAAATATAGCTTTTCAAGAGTGCAAGGTTTAGTTTAATTTTAATAGTCTGCATTAAACCTATGTACCTCATTTATTAATTTTCATATTAATATGCATGTTAGTATAATAATATATTATTATCATACAATACATACATATTGCTCTGCCACGAACAGGTGCGACTTGCAAGGGAGTTGCGGGGCATTTTGAGTTTGGCTACCTACATTTTTAATGGAAATCTTGAAGCTATATGAGATATGAGGGATAATTATGCGATACATCTACTGGATTGATTAATATAAAATACCTTGACTTTAAGGCGGACGTTTTTATGCGCAATTGTCAATGAATTTTTTGTCGAATTGTTTGACTAATTACTAATTTATTCTATATTGGGATCATTTGCACAATATTATGCTAAATTATCAATTGAATCTGCACATAATTGTTTATATACGGACAGAGAAATACTTATAGCGTAGCACTGCTGGTGTAGTGGTATCATGCAAGATTCCCATTCTTGCGACCCGGGTTCGATTCCCGGGCAGTGCACTTCTTTTTCTTTTTTTAATTAAAATTTATATGTAATAACTTATTATTGCTTATACTAAGAAAAATGTTCTTTATCTATTTTATTTTTAAATATTTTAGTTAGTTTAGTATTATTTTGTTTAGAAAATGACTTCGCACTAAAGTTTGCGTGCAAAAATGCTATATATGTTTTCAAAATAATTCACATACAGTGTCGGAAAGTCCCCATGGTTCATCGGCCGTTACGTGAGAGCGATAAAGAGTCATAGAAATACGTGCGATAGAGAAAGATGGCTATAATGAAGGCGTCTAATACCCGTCACCGCCCATTTCGCCCTTCCACAAATAAGATCCACTTCTTATTATTCTTCTTCTTCTCTTTCTCTATCGCACGGATTTCTATGACTCTTTATCGCTCTCACGTAACGGCCGATGAACCATGGGGACTTTCCGACCCTGTATATATCTTATTTATATATTATGAATTAAAATGGAAGTTAAAAATATATGCTATTCCATACAATTTTCTTAAATTTGGCAAAAATATATAATTCTGTATTCAAATTTTGTTTCTTCGTTTACTTTATATTGGATATTCTGACAAAGTCAAAACGAATACTGTTATTATTAAAATAAAAAAAAAATGCCGCCCGAGCAGGGACTTGAACCCTGGACCCTTGGATTAAAAGTCCAATGCTCTACCGACTGAGCTACCCGGGCTCTTTATATTTGGTTTCTATAGCTTTTAGAGTCTGTATAGCAGACATTATAAAACGTATACTAAAGGTAAACGCTCATTTATCCCCACCGAACGCAACGCACGCACCACCCGAATCTAAACAAAATATATTTTACATTGTTTTATATGCATTTGCGCTAACTGGTTCGAGTCACACGAAACGGATTAGAATTCTGCTACATAAACATATGGTATTATTAACCGTTAACGAGTTTATTACGTTACCTTGAAAATACTGTAATTTATAACCCGGAAAACACAGGTGATGTATTATTAGAGAGTGGAGAAAATCAGTTGCAAGCTATCATTCTTACTGTTTTACGGAAAGAATACATTATTTACAA